GTCTGTGTCTGTGTGTGTGTGTGTGTGTGTGTGTTATCTGTCTCTGTCTGGAATGAGTGGCATCCTGTGACTCAGGGATTCCGCTCATTTTCTCTCGGTGGGTCCAGCGGGCCGCAGCTGTCTGTCAGTCTCGTTCTGTGTGTGTGCTGAGTGCTGATTGATGGATTTCAGGGTTTTATAATGCTTCAGGGTGAGGGATGTGCGCAGAGGAAGCTCAGTGCTCTTGAAATAACCCAAAGCAGCATGTTTCCACCTGAAGCGCTTCTGCTTCCTTCACTGTCGCTGCAGTGTGTGAGTGATGTGAGAGACTTCATTAACCCTATCCTGTCCTCTGCTCTCAGAGAGACCATCTGGAGTCTCCGCGTCCACTTCCTGCAGGAGCGAGTGCTCAGCCAATGGGAATCTTTCACCGTATGGAACGCTGGGAAACAGGGCCGCAGACTCTACCGCAGCTTGAGTCCCACCAATCAGAAGAAGGTACCGGATCCAAACACAGCACTGCTAGACACTTCCTCGTGTTTATTAGCGATAATACAGAATACACTTTAAAATACTAAAATAAATAAATAATAATTAATTAAAAATAATTCAAATAATAATTATAATTCAAATAATTCAATATTGTGTGATCATGATGATAAATTCATCATCATCATCATGATCACACTTATTATTAATTATAGTTAGGAATTTAAAAATACTAACATTTTAAAATAAAATTTGTGTTAATAATATTAATAATATATATTATTATATAAGGGACTTATCAAAACATAACCATTAGATGTTTCCTTGTCTATATACAGTAATATAAGTTAATGCAAAATGGATTTTAAAATACACAGATTTTTTTTTAAATATTATTATTAATAATAATAATAATGTTATTATTTTATTACTAAGTACTTAAAAGTTCTAAAGGGATTTTAAAAAATACTACAATAAATAAATAATAACAATTACAAATTATCTAAATAAATGATTAATTATTATTTGTATTAATATTAGTTAAAATACCGGACCTAAATACTGAAGTAAATAAATAATCATGATTAATTTAAAAATGTATTTATTATTATTATTATTATTATTATTATTTAAAACACTAAAGGGGCTTAAAATACTAAAATTAAAAACAATATGGTTCATTAAAAATAATTAATTATTATTGATATTCACAATACTGAAGGGGCTTAAAAATACTAAAATAAATAAATAATCATATTTAAATTAGAGTTTACATTTGTGGTAATAATGTGGTAATTGTTGTTATTATTAATTATAAATATTAAGGCAAAATCTAATTCTAGTAATCCATTAGTAACTGCCCTTAGCAACCAGCCAGAACACCACAGCACTGCAATAATGAATTCATATTCAATAGTTAGTTAATTAATATTCGGTTAATTCATGTTTAATAATTCAGGAAATGAAGAGGTTGTATTGTGCTGTTGTGTTGTTCTTTATTGTGTCTGTGTTTGTGATCGCAGGTGAAAGCGTTCTGTGACGTAGATGAGAACAAAATTCAGAAAGGCTTTTACACGTACGAGGATTCGAAGGTGAGTCGCTTCAGTTCATTGTAATCACTTTATGATCAAACACTCACTTTAATGCAGAATTATAGTGGTTATATATGCTTTAAAACAGGAGCATAATCACAGTTTCAGCTGGGAACATTTTCATGGGAACATGGTTGATGTAAATGCAGAATCGTGATTAGTTATGCATATATAACGTTAGTAATTAATCAGTGTTTATGCTCAGACACAGATTAGCCGTCAGCTGTTTGCAGAAGTACATGCGCTGACTAATTAATTTCCTGGAAAATCCATCATTAGCCACATTAGTGTACGAAAGCACACGGCGCAGCAGCCAAAACCACCGCAATCACCACAGGAACAGTCACTTCCTGCAGAAGAGCGGTTATCTGAAGATGAAGAGATGAACCCACACTCACTTGAGCTTATTAATAACCAATAATTAAACAGTGAAACGCTGATATTGTGGTTAAACACTCACTCGTTTTCTGTGTTTCTCTCAGGAACGGCCCAAACCCAGGATTCCTGTGCTGCACTTCACAAACGCATCGCCGCCGTTCATCGTGTGTGTGAAGCTGGTGAGTGTGTGTCTGTCTGTGTGAGTGAGTGTGTGAGTGAGTGTGTGTGTGTGTGTGAGTGAGTGGGAGTGAGTGTGTGTGTATGCGTGTGTGTGTGTGTGTCTGTCTGTGTGAGTGAGTGTGTGTGTGTGTGTGAGTGAGTGGGAGTGAGTGTGTGTGTATGCGTGTGTGTGTGTGTGTCTGTCTGTGTGAGTGAGTGTGTGTGTGTGTGTGAGTGAGTGGGAGTGAGTGTGTGTGTATGCGTGTGTGTGTGTGTGTCTGTCTGTGTGAGTGAGTGTGTGTGTGTGTGTGAGTGAGTGGGAGTGAGTGTGTGTGTATGCGTGTGTGTGTGTGTGTCTGTCTGTGTGAGTGAGTGTGTGTGTGTGTGTGAGTGAGTGGGAGTGA